ATGTGAGAATAAAACATGAAACAATCTCTTCCGCACAGGCTTCAGATTTATTGCGATATTATATTAATCAGCAAGGCATTTTATTATTTATGGTGACCATAATTCGTGCGCAAAAAAAACGTCGTCTTTTTGCAGGATAAGAAAGTTTCCTAGCGGGTCTAACTGCGGAAGCGAAATGGTTCACGGGCGTTGTCTTCTAAGGGCAGCGTTATGCGGAGAGCCAACAAACCCAGCATTGGAGCTAAAGCAGATGGCATCACCTGTCGTACCGCATGCTTGACCCCACACACAATCCAAGCGAAACCCCGTCCGAAAACCTGAAGTAACACTATTCGCACTTTCCGCAGAGTCGGCCCTGTCTGCATGTTCCGTGGCGTCGCAAAACATGCAAACTGCCTCACTTCATCGCTGACACCTCAGATAATGGGTAAAACGGATCAACTGCTGATCAGCGGGTTGGAAGACGAGATGAAAGAGACCCATGAGAGAGTTCAATACCAATACTAATAAGCGGTGCTTGGACGAAGTCTGGAGGAAACTACATGCTAAAAATCAAGAGCAATTTAGAGGTTTTTGGTGGCAGAAAAAAAAACCATCAGGAATAACTTTTCACAGGAAATTAACTTCAATGTGCAGAGCATAATATCAAGGAACCACAACTTCCAAAATATGTAGGATCAAGTGTTTTGTTAATTAAAATGTGTTTCTGCTTTCTTGAGCATTTTTTTTTGCATTTCGGCAGATAATATGGTCCTTACAACGAAAAATCTAGTGTACAGGAAGTCAACTACTACTACTGCTGCAGCAGACTCCATACCAAGACTGTTTGTCGATTCAAGTGGGATGTGGCATCCTCATCAAACCAGCCGAAATTTCAACCTGTTGACTTGCCCGCTTCGTCGGCCAATGGGGCCGTACATATGCGTAAGGCCGATGTCAGACTTTGCGAATCGCGCGATTCGCTAGCGTCCGCGGTCGCGTTGCGGTACCAGCCAATTGAGTGATTCACTGGCCGCGACGCGACCGCAGACGCTAGCGAATCGCGCGATTCGCAAAGTCTGACATCGGCCTAAGGTAAAGGTGCGCCCACATAACGACACGCCGCTATGCAAAGAAGTCGACCAAAAGATCATTCTGCATGGCACACCACTGGGTTGGACACGCAAATGCCGCCTAAATTTTAAGTCACACTCAATGCAAGAGTGACGAAGCATGGTTAACGGAGGAATACACGATAAGAAGAAGGTAAAGGAGGTAGGCGGACCTCCTGAGGGTGCTGACCGACGCGCAATTGGCAGCGAAAGATTTGACCTCGGCGATCTAGCATGGCTCACTCTTGGCGCGGTTGGCGGGGTACGCCCACCGACTATCTAATCACTCGCCGCAGGTCTATACGTGGCGAGTGATTAGATAGCAGAGAGAGCGTAGTGTTGAAGAGGGCACAGCGATGAGAGTCGCATCAATGCGCAAATCAACGGGCAAGGAAGGGGTCCCATTTCTCGGGTTTCGGGCCGTTTCAAATGGTTTCTTCTTCATCCCTGCTCCACTGACCACCTCTACCCTTATTTCCAATGAGCTAATTTTCATCGTAAATTCTGCTTTAGTTGTGTTCAACCATCGCCGTACGAAATTGATGATAGGAGAGAATGGATTCGCTTTGGCAGCCAGCCCGGGCGACGCAGTATTGGCGAAAGCTATGAACACAGCCGCATGTTTACTTTTAACTCACGTTCGAAAACTGAACTTAGCCGCAACTCAAGCATTTCTGCTGAAACATATAGTGGAGTAACCAATGCGACAAAGAGGAATGTCAGGGACAAAATGCAACAGATTTTGATAAAAAATGTTGTTGATGGTTCTGAAGCACGGTTTTGAAAATTCACGCACCTCAGCTAAACTCTCTTGGATTTTGGCTGTTTTCAACTTTTTTGGTAAAGGTCCAGTTGTTTCACAGCGAGATAAAAGTCCCACAAGGAAATCGGTTCGGAGATTAGCCTAAAAGACAGCTAAATTTTCAACACGACACATGATAACTATCAATATATGTATAAGATGATACTGCAAAAATAAATTTCATGATCTACCTCCGCAAATGCCGAATGAGCCTTCGCAACTACTGGGCATTTTGTATTCGTAACTGCAATATGAATTACATCCAAGACGAATGCCTCGATGTCCTCATTGACTTTGTCGGCGAAGTAGGATTTACGAGAACTCATCTCGTCGAAAGCCCATGCTACCTACAAAAATATACTAGGCATGAAATGTTCAAAAACACATCACATAAAAGGTGCATAGTATGACGCTCATCGCAAACTGGAACCGTTCCAAAGATTCAGCCTTAATTCGAAAGGGAGGCCTCATGTCTTTTACACACTCCCACTGCAATGCTGACAAAATTTCTGGTGATCCGAAAAAACTCAGGTGAACATAACAAAATGTACGATAGTTTCCACTAACTAGGGAGATTAATTTAGTGGTACGATTTAGAACAAAAGATCATTCTTTAGGTGAACTCTGTGATTGAGAGGGTTTTTAATTACCATAGGTTATTATTACGTTGAAATACGTTGAACGCTATTTTATCGCCCCTCCCCCACTCCAGATCCACCACTGATCCTAACATAAAACCCCAAACAAACTTGAAGGCCGATGTCAGACTTTGCGAATCGAGCGATTTGTAAAGTCTGACATCGGCAAAATGAGGATTCCACGATAAGCTGGAAGGTCGAAGAAGCGGAAATTATCTAGTGGAAAGACAGGTGGACCCGCCAAATTAGCATGCCCCTCCCCCGCAGTACCTTGATCCAAACAGGCTGCCCTCTCTTTGTGAAATCCGCCTTCAAAAAGATTCCACGATAAGGACGAAGGTCGAAGAAGGGGAAACTCACCTAGTGGGGAGACAGGCGGACCTCCTGAGGGTGCGGACCAACACGCAATTCGCACCGAAAGACATGCTTCCGGCGATGTAGCATGACCCTACCCATGGCGCATTGGAGCGCTGTCGGCGCGGTACGCCTCCCTCTCGCTGTCTCACCCACTAGCCGTTTAGCAGAGAGAGCGTTAGCGTTGAGGAGGGCAGCATCAAAAAAGGTCGCATCATGCGGAAATCAACAGGCAGGTAGGAGGTTTTCGTGACCATGTCTAACTTGACTTCCACTAGGCTTCCATTTCTTAGTAACCGCCTTTACATAAGTACTACTCACTTCTCATACCTCTCATACCTAATAAACCGCTCGTCAAAGAATCATGCTCATTTATCATGCTAAGTTTTAACAACATATTCGCATCTGAAGAGGTACGTTACTCTATCTGAGCTATCATACGTCAGTCGCACAATTCATGCTGCTCATAGCCGAAATTTCACATATTTTCTAAAAGGGAACATGTCTTTCCACCTTCTAGAAAACTTGACTAGAAGACGAAAACAATTATAATAAACGCTCACTTTGTCCCATTTTTCCTTGCCAATCCATTCACGTGCTTTCCTCATAGGATCACCAGCAAACTCTAATCGTCGAGCAAATTCTGATGAAAAAGCCATTTCTTCTGCACGTTTAAGGGCACCTTTTCCCTGAAAAAAACTCGTGTATACAATTTCGAGATATAAGGCCAAAGAGGAAGCATCTTCAGAGTACATTAACCATTTCGCTTTCACTTTCATACTCACACCGGAAGTTTCCCTTGCAAAAATTGGAATCAATGAAGGTGGGAGAAACTACTGCTCCAGATGCTCCCTTTCATGAATAAATCATGACTTCGTGCATAAGCGTACACCAGGTAATCCATGGAATGCGGTAAAAGGCAAGTAGGAAGGCCAGGCTAAACGCAGCTTTTGTTTGATATGGCTCCGCAGTAGAAACGGTGAGTGGGCAATTTCCAGCTCGTAGGTCGATAACCATTTGATAATGTCAAGCACTTCTTTCAAAGTATTCTAATGGCTAGAGCCTTTTCAACTTGAAATATCAGTCATTTCTCCGATCCGCTGCTTTCAATTTTGCTTTTATTTCAATGCTACAAAGTACTAAGACATTTTCACTCCCATTATTATCTAAACGAGCTTGTAGTGAATGGCAATCAGTTGCAATGGCGCACTATAGAGTTAGATGTCAAGTCCGGGTGTCGAAACAGAATTATGCAGTTTTTCACAACACGTTCCAATTGAGGGAGTGGGCAGTGGTGGTCGTCATAGCATGAGAAGCAGACCAAATTTGCGAACAATAGATTTCCAATGATCCGAAAACTGATTTTCGAGGTGTGAACACACCTGAGCAGATATGCCAAAAGAATCACAACTCAATGTGAGTACTATTGAAACTTTGTTTGTCTCAAACTATTGCTGATTGCTCTCAACCAACGGAGCGTAATAGATATTTTGCGTGGCAGTTACACACACGGGAAGTGCGCCGAAGACACAACCTATGCCGGGGATAGAGAGGGCAGGGAGTTGGAATGAGTCACACACAATGTGAACTGGGACACAGTGCGGTAAAAAACTATTTTGGAAGGAGACAACATTACATCATTATGGTATAGTTGGCTTTGCCCAATCGGTTTTCGCGAAACACACTTCTGCTTTTTTTTATCATTTGTTTGTCAACATTGGCCAGACGGCGAAGATACCATGGGAATTGGACCGTGTGGCCTGAAAAACAAGCGTTCTTATTGTTCGGATCGCTATTCTTCCGAAACATGCACAAATCATACTATCAGGACCGCATCAGCCGCCGCATACAGAAACTAATCCAACAAGTTCTAGAAGCAATTATCAGCAAACGGGCAAATTTCCTACCTCCGATTGCCGTGTAACAACATAGTTACTCGTCAAGAAGATACGCGCGCAAACACTCAATCAGAAAGACCACAACCAACCCAACCAACAACTAACCCACGAACCCGCAAGCCACCAAAGAAGGCCCCAGAATCTCCGTCGCTCCTACACATTCCACAATCGCGAATAACAGAGCCTTCCAAAATCATAAGGACAAAATGGTACCCGTGAGTCTGCCAAAAAAAAGCCGATATCGCGACTTGCCCAATTCCGCGTGCCGTTCTAACAGTAATCAGTTGCATCCCTTTTTTGAACGACTATCGGAAGCGCGCCAAATTTATCGGGTCTTTTTCAATTACAATGTTCGTTATCATTTTTTGTCTCACAAGCAGTGAGACTCGTTTCTCTTTCGGCATCTTCTTTTTTGCCTCCTCGTTTCTTGCATGAACCTCAAATAGTAATAATGTAATCCTGCTTTCAGCAAAGAATCAGCAAGTTTTCGTTTCCCGTATAAGCGTGAGACGAAACCATCATGAGTGGTTCCAAAGCATAATGTTTAACAATGCAAGTAAGGACATTCTCATCACGTGAAGTCCATTCCGCACAAATTTCTTCCCACTTGATCCGAGAATCTAGAAACGAACAAACTCTGAACGAACATCAAACTCCCAAAAAACGAGAAATTCTACCTGGCCACCAAGCTGTAAACGTGCTTGCAAAACTTCTTTGTTCTCATAAAGCAATCGCAGTTCTGGATACTGAAGAAGCTTCGTTAAGAAAACAGCTGCCTGCGGACCATGAAGATTTTCTGGTTCAGAGGTTTCTCTTAACGCATGCAAGCACTGCTTGTGATCTGCTTCGTATGACTCTACAAAGGTGTTCATACGCTAGAAACCAGAAAGATACAATTCAGAAAAACAACCTTCATTAGCAATGGAGAACAGAGTTGCCCATAGAGGTTTCAAAAGTGGAGTTAGATCAGTTTTTTCTCGATAACTTTTCAGAGCCGACCAAACCTCTTGCTCATTGCGCAACGTTTTTAGAACTGCTCTGAAAACAAAAAAAAATGGGAGAATACTCGATATATCAGATTTTTCGCAATGCCCACTTGATTGACAGGGACTCCACTGATTGTTGTTGGCATAAAACAATTAGAGTTGACAGCGAGCTTTCCAGTGAATTGCTCCGAAGCCTTCTGAAAAACTTGAGCTTATAGAGAAGTAACCTGAGTGAAACAATCTTTCAAAGAGACGTTTCTTTTGGAAACAAACTTCAGACCAGAGGTTTGTCACTAAATCAAACTAAAGTGACTTTATTAAAAGAAAAACAGTGGCCCTAATTTTAACTAGTTTTTGTCGTTAACTGCGGTGAACATGAATATTGAGGACGCATACCAACTGCTGTTAGTAAGATACTCTCTATATTGTAAATTTACTAGAAGGAGATTGAACGAATGTAACAATTAATCCCCTACTGAACCTTCAGCCTATGGTGGAAAATAACACCGTGATAAATTCTTTATGCCACCAGAGCTGTTTCTGCAGGGAGCCCACGCAATGAAATATACCTGCTCGCTGAAAAATTTTGTAGACCAAAGGCTTCAAAAACTGTTCGTAGTTTTAGGAAAAAAAGATACTTTCATGTTACATGATATCACTACGATCAGACTTCAAAACAGAGGTATACTAACCATCAATACAACCTTCGTGAGTGATGCCACTACATCTGGCGTTAACTTCACGGTTACGGCCAGTTGACAGATTACCATCAACGATGCCTGACGGAAAGATGGGAGAGCACTTCTGAAAAAATACATACCATTGACGGCAACCATCTCGATTTAGCTCGACGCGCACGTCTTCTTCGTTCTAATATTGATAGTGAGCAGTCTTCTATGACCCCTTTTGCAGTTCATTTTACCGAGCTCCTTACAGATTCTTTTTTGGCTCGCGGACACGCAAACGGTATGATGGAAATACGTTGATATTGGGGTTTGATGGAAAAATCAATTTGAATCGGTTCGAAGCAGCCATTTTCACAATACCGTGGCACAATTTAGAAGGCCGTGGAAATGCCTTCCTCAAGATATTCAGCTATCACTTCTAGAACCATAGATACTATTGCACTCATAACTAGTAGCATCACCATCAGTACCGTTGCGATTCTATGGAAGCCAAGCTATGGTTACCGCAACCTTAGAAGAATGTCCGTCTTTGAACAATTGAAATAAACCAGCCGTGGCACAACTATTGCACACAGGACCCTCCCTTAGTTAGAAGTAGCCCAAGAACACTCCAGCAGTGAAACTTTAGTTTGGGGAGAAAAGGTTTCTAGTAAAAAGTTAGTGTTGTTCTAAATAACTAAAATGTGAAACTCACTTGAGCCCTATTGCGATGAGCGGAATGATTTTAGCGAGCAATGCATCATCAATCTTCGAGGACTCCTCCAACACAGCAATTAGGAGCTTCGTATAGAATGTAAATAGCATATGACATTTCTTTTCCAAGAATTCCTCTCCAACTAGCTGAAAAGATTACTTTATTTCTCGATGATTTCCACGTGACTGGAGACAAGTACTGTTGAGCAATACAACACCTGGATTCCTCGGTTTAAATGATCACCAAGGCGTGTGATTAATGAATGAGTACTGGACCGTGTTTTTTACAATCTGCAATGGAAGGACTGTATAAAGGCGAAAATTTAATAAAGACATCAGTGCAACTCACGAGCTGAATGGAACAGGATATTCCTTTTTGCCAAAACCCTCCAAAAACGCCCAATCTTTCGACGTCGCAAAATTATATTCAAGTATGGATAAAATACGACCAAAAACATTAGTTTCGTGAAAGGGAAGGAATGTCAAGATCATACTCTCCGCGTTGTAGGCGTAAATCTGAACAAAAGCTGTCGATGGATACATAAGATCTCAATGCTGCAGTGGAGGAAACTTGCCTGGTACTTAAAAACAAGCCACTCTAAGACTTGCTGACATGCAAAATGCTGCAAGTATGGAGAAAGTAGAAACAGCAGTTTCTCGATCTTTTCATTTAGAGCAAGATTTTCCTCATTAGTTATCATGGAACGTTGAAAATGCAGGCGAGACTCGTCGAACAGATCGTTTTTGGCAGCGAATTCTCCATCCAATTCCTTCAGTTTTCGCAAGCCCACGCAGCCTATACAAAGTAACTTGGTAAAACGGCGTGACGGTTATTCAATTAGGCTGCATTGATGCCGCAGCTTTTGGTTTGGTGTCAAGAGAAATGATGTCAAAAGTTGCGCAGTTTGCACTGTAACTCACCTATGTTGTAAACAGTTTCTCTGTCGAGTGCCTCAGCCTCCTTTTTTGCGAACAGCAGGGAAACATGTCGCCTTTCTACCGTTTGATGCTGGGCTGTAGCTGTGCGGAGTGACTGAAGTTGACTTGAAAGCGACGTCATGCGCAGTACAGATGTGACGTAGGCGTCCTAGTGACACACCTAAACATATTATACAAACCTCGCTCTTCAGACACTTCGAAAAAAAATATTAGGAAAACAGAAATGTCCAAACAGGAGACGATATTATAGACCACATTTCCGCACCGCTACCCCGAGATCCCAGATTTGCGAACCAATATAGCTAGCCTCGGCCGCTCGGTGTGGTTATGGAGACGCCGATGCAAATTTAAAAGAATTTCCACCTCAGTTTTATGAAGACTGACATGCAAACGTCCGTGCAAAAAGGTGTACCGTTGCTGGTTGCACTGACCACACTGCATCCTACGTCACGCAGCTGTGCATTCAAATCGGTCTACGGTTTTCCGTCT